TCAATATTTTCGAAGTGCAGATATACATAAAGTTTATTTTATTTTCTATGAAGAAACCGAAAAAGCGATAAAAAATATAGGTTGCCATTTAAAAAGACACAGTTGGGATCCGCCCAGAAAAAATCGAACACCCTGTGTGACCGCCAATATTTTTATTTTGTCGAGCTCGAGCAATAAGGTAATATTATAGAAAATTAGATTCCTATCTGCTTCCTATATAGAGATATGGAACACCGCGCCACTGTTGCAGGACCCTGTATATTTTTATTGGTGTAGTGCTATGACAACTTTCAATGCAATTTTCAGGATTGTCAATTAAGAAAAAATAAAGGAGTTATAGTTCAGGGTGACTCTCGTAAACAGTAGTATCGATCAAATCAGCTATTTTCCCCCTAATTCCATAGTACGGAAGTTTATCGAGTAGAGTCGAGTGTGACACACAGTCGAGTGCCAACTCAGGGTGCCTTTACAATTTCTGGACTCGAATTTTGAAGAAGACTGTGTGAGAGTGGTTTTCGTTAATAATACTGGGAATGGTCGGTCGGTAGCCAGGCGGTTCGACGTGGGTGCTTTGTTCACTCACTCGAATTGACTGCCGTGTTGGTCAGTGGTTCAAGCCCTAGTCTGAACCCGTGTTAGGAATCACACGTTAAAATGTAAGACCTTGTTAATCGTTAGCTCGCACAAGTTTCGACTTCTGAGGGTTGTCGTTCATAGGGGTGCGACAGCTGAATAACCTAAAAACATATTTCAAACAGATTTTAAACAGACACTCTTTGATTGCATCGAACCTATGAATTGAGGATTTGACCAACAGAACCTTTGAAGGTCACTATTGGTAGTATAATTGTATGTGCCCTTATTGTAGCGAATGCACGTAATTCTTCAGTGAATGAGATGTGACCTTAGTTGAGTTCGCCATACCGATAATAATCTGCTTACAAAATAATTGTTACCTTTATGATTTTTAAATGACCGCAGGGGTGGCTTACAAACGGATCGGTGGCTTCAATAATTAAATGGAGTGTGTTTGAGTAACATTCTACAGTGAAATAGTTTACAAAAACATAACACGTATTTGAATACACAATAACATCTTTAGGTGTAGTGAAACACGTATGAAAGTACATGAAGAAGCTATTGTATAGTGAATTACGGATTATCATCAAGTATCCATTTCTAAAACATGGTTTTCATTGTGTTTTTCTTTACTGTGTTCGGAATCACATTCTTAGAGTTGAGCCTCTTTCCGAGGGTTACTCACATGGCAAAAAGGCAGTTGTGTTTGTATGAACAGCAAAAATAAAGATAATTTACTAAACGGTCACACCATTAAAAATATCAACTTCATAATGAATATGACACATGACTCACAACAGCATAAGGACTTTAAATCTTGGTAGCAATTATAAACTACGCATGTGTCTTTAACGAAAGTAATACTACAAAACCTCAACATTGTTTCGATAAATTTCTAATTTTAAAAGGAAACTTTGTTATTGAGTAATACCATGAGATACACCAGCACGATAAAACCACGACCCCGGGGTTTTATCTATTGTTGGTGGTTCGATTGGTATGGCTCAAAAATTAAAAGTTTGAGTTTTAAAAAATAACATTCATCTGAGAAAATATTTAGGTCGATATTAGTCGACATTATTTCCTGAAATATTCCCGGCTGAATGCATCGATGTAAATACAAAATTTCAATTCTCAAATTGAATCAATTTTATGACCTGAATAACAAGACATTTCAACAAGAATATTTGTATGAAAATACAATCATCGAAGGAATAATGTTTGAATATATAAACGGAGTTCGTGAATGACTGAACTCGTAGTTTTCAACAATAGGATTTCATTGTTGAAATCTATCTTGCTTTGACATGAGACCGCAGAGCCGACGCCCGAGTCGCCCGACATACTTGAAGCGGTTAGATGCATTTACTATACCTTCGCCGCGAAATTCTTTTCGATTTCAATAAAATAATNGATTTTTCCACTCTAACAGAATAAAAATTACCACAAATACATACATACATACATACAATGTAGTTCGTATTACTTGAATCAATTCATGTCATTCATTAGAAGACATAATTCTCAAGACTGGCAAAAAAACTGATGATTCAGTGACGTTCAGGACTCAGATATCGTCAAATTGTTATAGTTATCAGAATTAAAATATCTATTGGAAAAGAAAGGTTTTCGACTTTCTTTCTCCACCTTGATACAAAAAATGTAGGAATCTTCCAAGGAAAGGAAGGAAGCAATCAGTTGAAAAAACTCTATACTTCCTTCCTACCTTCTTTCCCCTCTATGGATGATACCCATATTTTATGTATCCCACATTTCACTAGCCACTCGTGCTGGCGAAATGTTAGGATTGCGTAGTTTACGCAATATTTTCAAATTCATAATTCAGCAAAGCATCATCTCATCAAAGACTCACAAGAAACTCAAAACTTACAGTAAGTTGAAATGGCATAAAACGAACCAAATGACACAATCACTTTTTATGGAATTGTAAGAAGAGAATAGTTCAAAAAATAATATGACCTCACTCTGAATATTTTCAAATTCATAAATGAGCAAAACATCATCTCATCCAAGATTAACAAGGAACTTAACCCTTTGTTGACCGCTATAAGAAAGTATTGAAAAAAATATTTTTTTGTGATACATCTGTATTTAGGATGAAAATTGGCATAGACAAATTTTTTGAAATTTTTCGAACAAATATTTTTTTTTGAAAAATTTGTGGTAACTCTGAGTACCGTTGGGTTATATTCGAACAAAAAAAGTAAGAAAAGTAAAAAATTTCAGAATACACTCAAGCTCATTTGTGGAAACAAATACATTTTAATTTTTTTTGGAACTATAAAATCTATTTAATATCGACTTCATGGTACTCTACAAAGCAGTTTCTTTTTTCAAAACGGCATAAAAAATATTACATGTCATACATTTTGAATGGGGTCGGGACTGTATTTGTTTCATACTACAAACTTCACAACGAACTCTCTGAAGTACATATTCGTACTTATTATTGACTCCATTTTGAATTTCACATGAAGATTTTTTGTTTCTTTTTCCACTTGTTGGGCACGATTTTTTAGTGATCATTCCCAACGCTACTCCTCTTCTGAATTCCAATAAAGGAATTTCATCAAAAACACTACAAAATGATACATATGCATTCACAAATGCCACGTCTATGAGACCCCAAAATATTTTGTGCCACCATTTTTTGGATCTTCGGTTCAACACAAAATACATTCTGAGCTGATCAGCTTTGTCAACTTCGCCCATATGTATATTTGTTGTAATCGGCCACGATGGTGGGACATGGTATTTCTATTGAGGTTCCATTTTTCTGCTTCATTTTTACTACGGTTGTTTCATTTTCATGAAAATTACTTGCCAGGTTGACAACTCTGTTGTCGCGCCATCTGAAGAATCCAATTTCTGCTGAACTGAATCGGTAGTCGAATTCTCCACGCTTCAGATTCTTGTCGTTGGTTAGGTTTTTCGGAGTTCCTTTTCTATTACATCTAATCGTTCCACACGCATAAGTTTTTTCAACTTTCAACTTCTTTAAAAGAGGCATGGAAGTGAAAAAAAAAACAGTAATGCGGTTGGTGCCCAAATAATTCTTCAAAAGTTTCAAGACAACTTTTTCTCCCAATACCCAGTCAGTCAATTCAGGTTCATTGTCATTGCCTTCCTCCTTCCCTTGGTATATGTCGAAATGTAAAATATAACCTTTTTGGTCAGCACAACACCAAATTTCATGTCCACGTTTGATTGGCTTCATTGGGTTATACTGTTTTATAGAACTTCTACCTTTGAAGGCTATCATGGATTCATCTATGGTAAGATGTCTGGTTGCTTTCGAGAAAGCATTGAAAGTCTCATTCAATGAATCAATCATTGGTTTAAATTTATAGAGTTTGTCTTTATTATTTACGGGAATTTTAGCATTATCATTCATGTGTAAGTTGGAAAGTATGTTATCGAATATCTGTCAACTTA